ATATTTTGTGTTAAACTTTCTTAAATGTTTTGCTTGTTCTTCCAGCAGCCCTCACATCAGTAACTGGGCACGAGAGAAGAGAACACCGCTGTGCTAATTAATTAACCAGACTAGTTCTGCATCAGTTGGCAAGAGGATTTAACTAAGTAGAAAGAAATCCAACAAACAAGCTTGTGTTTTTTCATTTGAGACCGGAGCACTCACAGGCGCTGCAGATTGTGGAAAACCTTGAATAACCTCACATAAAGCATATAGGGCTTTATTTTTATTCCAATATGTATTCCAATTTCTATGCCTGCCGTTTATTATCGAAGGCGAAACAGGGATATAAGCTGTGGTCCTTTGTAAAGTCTCCTCTGCGGTCTGTCATGATTTATCTTTCAAACATCTGCAGTGCTGATCAAATATTGTTGATAACGTTTCAGTGGCGTTTCTGTCTGCAGCTGGAGATATATTGGTGTCACTTGCAAAGTGGCTCATTTGTTGGCCTTTTCTAGATTTTGTCAGTCACTGCGTAGACTGCTTTTCCTTTTGAGGGTTGCAGGGGGTGCTGGAGCGGGCTGTCGTCCTTGCACACCAAAGCACTAAGACTCTCACTTTCCCCTCGAACAGCTATAAAATCTGATGTTGTTTTTAAGTTTGCTGCCTTTAAACTCTGCAAAGATGAAAAAGACAAGGTGTGAATTCTGGCTCACGGGGGATTTCCTCTGCAGCTCTCTGACAAACAATACGAGGCCTCCCATGAGAAAAGGCAGCAGAGGCAGCAGAGGCAGCAGAGGCAGATGATGTGTTTCCCAGAGTTTAACCCTAAACGATCTGGCAGTCTTATCAGCCTCTGCTACTTGTTGTGGCTGTGTGTGTGTGTGTGTGTGTGTGTGTGTGTGTGGGGACGGCGGGGACGGCGGGGACGGCTCAAGTGCCTGACACGGCCAGCTGTGGAGATAGCATCAGACACCACAGTCAGGTGGCTGTTTCCTCGAAAATGAAAAGGAAAGACTTAAGTCTGTGATTGGTCTTTAGGGAGCATTGCTCCGGCAACGCAGGTATTTTGATTTACTTCAGAGTAGTTCTGGGAAAACAAAAAACTTTTTGTCTTGAAGTCCAGAGAAGATCCTGAATGTATTTTTGGGCCAGCGTCCAGTGACTAAGTAATGGTTTCATGGCTCTAACCCTCTTTCATTTCTCCTTGTCTTTCTGTTTTAACCACTCACTATATTAACCATGATGATTAATGCAAGACATCGCCGGGATGAGTATAATGGGTTTCAAAAGGAAAATGAGTTGCAAATTACCTTAACCTTTACCCCGGGGACCCAATCCTGTGCAAGCAATTCTCTACTGTATGCGTGATTATTCCGCTATCCAGAGACCCTGTTGCCTCTGATGTGGGGGCCGGCCTGCCTGCAATTACAACCCATTAGCCCCTGATTGATAGCCTCTCTCAGGGCTAATGCATTTCTATGGCAGAAAAACAAGATGGAGGGAAAATGACAATAAATACATAAATGAATAAAATGCCACTTCTCGTTACTCAAATCCGTGGCATCCTCGCATCGCTTGAGTGACTAATGCAGTTTTTATCCCCAGATTAAAAGAATGACTGTAAGTGTGGAGGACAGTACGGACAGTTAGCGTCATAAAAAACTGTATCAACCTGCTGTAAAGTCTACCTGACAACCGCAGTGCTCGTTGGAGGCACTTTGCTTATTTCTACGCAGCGTTAGATTATAGGACTTTTAGTGCGTGGTTATGATTGATAAGAGCTGTGAGATGAAAACGAGTGTGTGGAATGATACACCCGACCTGTTGTCCTCGGGATGTTACAGCCTCACTAACGACACTATCACATGCGCCACACACACGCTATCAGTCACTACGCAAAGCACTTGGAGGCTCTTTGTGTTGAGATACTCTTTCTCTGCCAGCCTTTGCGTGTGCTTCACAGCTGCTGTGTACATGCTTCCAAGAAAGCACCTATAAAAAAGACACTTAGCTCCCCTCGTTGGATTACTGCTCCTCCTCCTCCTCCCCCACAATTCTCCGGTTTCCCCTCTGACTGAGTGACAGTGTAGGGGCCTGGGCCACTCGCCTGTTGAGAGGCCCTGCATCGAACACCGGGTTATTGCCCCCTAATTTTCAATTACAGCGCTCGGCATCCACACCTGGAACAGGCCAGGCTGGGAATGAGTTTTAGCCCATTAGGATGGACCTCCGGCTGGGCTGTTTATGGGGGGGCTGGGCTCTCCCCTCCGGAGGTGTTAATGGACCTTCCAGGGGTACAGTCAGCAGGCTGATCCATCAGCATCTAATGACAGAATAAGGCGACCGCTTCATGCTACATTGCTGTTTGGATTTTAGCATTTGTTTCCATGTTTCCCTTGCAAGTTCTGGTGGGAAGTTTCTGAGAAAACATTGCACATTTTATTTTCTCAGTATTAATTGCAAATCCATTTCATATGCTGGTTTACATATTATTACAAGTTTTGCATTATGTTTATTTAGCACAGATTGAAACTATGCACAGAAAAATTACAAATAAAAGTGGGATTATTTTAAAGCCTCTACCTACGGATTGGTAAAAATTCATGAAATTACATAATAATCACATGCAGACAATATTATGACTATAACCATGAGAGTCAACAAAAATAACAACTATAGCCTAAGACAAAAAGTGTGAGTGTGTGTTGGGGATGTATGGTTTTATACGCATGCATTGACCACTGAGAAATAGTAATCAATAGTTAAAACAAATCATATTTCCAGACAAAAATCCATAAAGCAGCAGTCACATTCATAGAAGAGAAGTTCGTGAAAAGTAATTCCATAATTGAGCTCTCTAATTGAAAATTGAACTTTGCTACTGATGAATCTTGGAGGATGAAGATCTGAAGATTGTCAAGTTGCATCAGATTTTAGTGGAAACCCTGTGTTACAAAGTGGAGACATGGAGAAACCAGATGAGAAACGTGGGGTCGTCACCTATTGAATTTACTCAGGATGACATATTATGAGCATGAAAACCATGTGCTACTGCAGCCGAGATTTGTAACTGCTTAAGAAAGAATCTGCTCTCTGAATTATTGCCTCACTGCTCTGTTTAAGTTCCCATCCTGCTCTGCTCTCATACGATCTTCCAGACGTTTAATGCAACATGCATTTTGATATATTCAGAGAAGGTGCAGCACTGAATGTTATTTGCTTGTACTGATACCTTTTCTATACAGTAAGTGATTGAGTGTGACATGCACAGGTCGCTGCCACCTGTATCCTCCATTCTCTTCTCTCCATTCATGTATAAAGGTGCCCAAGAATAGATGTCTTTTCACCCTTGAATGCAAATAGATTGACTTGGCCTCTTATCATTATCATAGTCGCGTTGACGCCGGTCTCATCACTGCTCTTTTCAACTGTTAGCGGTGTTTAGGTGAGGAGTCGGCATACGGCAGCCATGCACTATATTGCACAGAAGATTGAAATGAAAATGAGGCATTTCTCAGAATAGCTGCAGGCAAACGTGGGGGGGCTGGTAGTCGAGTCAGAGGATTTAGGGTGACGGGGGTGAAGATATATGTTATGACGTTCTGTGTATTTTAGAGCTCCCGGCTTGTTGTGGAGCCTTTTCCATGCTGAATGCTTCGGAGATATGTCACAGGTGTTATGATGGATTGGCGAGCGCGGTATGTGCCGCATTGACTTTGTAATTGGTGAGATAGAGTGCAGGTATATGTGTGTGTGTGTGTCCGTGAATGTAAACGCATATGCATCATCATGTGTGTGTTTCAGATCCCCTCCCTCGCACCACTGGTCTTCCTGCTGGTGTGTGTGTATTAGTTTTTCCTACCTCTTTAGGACCTTTTCCAGAATACCGGCCCTGT